AGCGACCTCCGGTGGACTGTAGCAGACTCAAAAATGAGACGAAGATTTAGTGTTCCACTTGAGGTTATTAACTAGCAAATAATATAAATATTATGAGCGTTAATATTAGTTGAGCAGGTTAAATTGTAACTGCAACACGCTACTTAATGAGATTTGCTATGATGAGCAATTTGGCTGTTTGCACCAGACGAAACACAACAGAACTTTAAATCCAGCCATTCAAAAGCACAGAATAGTGCACTCACTGCACTCCAACAAAATGCTAAGGTTCACAATCTAATTAATACATATTAAACCTCTTTACATTATTAAATGTACATGCTGAATCACTGATGCATACCTGGATGTGAAAATAAGGGATATGCCCACCACAATAAGGGATACCCATCTGTTTAAATATATACCCAAAACCCAGCTTCGCTTCAAATCACGTGTACAGAATCCGTTTGGGAAACAATGTCTAGTTATTACTATGGAGTGTGTCGGCTGACAGTCACGCACTGCTATAAGACTGTTTTGAGGATTGTATAGGATGGGCAATGACACCTGTAAGGGAATCTTGTTGTTTTTATATTTATTTTAAAGTATTTTCATGCCTAAATAAAACAAAAGCAAAGATTGGACTCACAAAGAGCAAAGAACGGCGCCTGGTGGTTTGGTGGTATGGGTTGCGTACAGGGAGGATTGGCTCTTTAATGTTTATTGCCACCCTTTAAATGAAGACTGAAAATACGGGAGAAATACAGGTAAATACCTTTATGGGATGATAGCGGGATAGAACTGAAATATTCAGGAGAATCCCGGGAAAACCGGGGGGGTTGACAGGTATGCTGATGTGTGTTGGCTTGCACTAGTCACAGGTCTGAAGTTTAATTTTAAACGGTTTACTTTTATTTTCAAGATCTGAGGTGAAAATCTGCTGCTTCTTTCAGAAGTATGGCTATAAATGTCATGTAAAATGGCATTCAAACTCACATTATTAGCATTTAACACTGAAAAAAGCATGAGGTGTACCTGAGGTGATCATTGTCAGTTTTCTGTTGTTCAGCTGCAAGAAATAGAAGCTGTTTCTAAAATATGAATTTCAGGTGTTGGTTAGAACAAAAGCTCCTTTTGATATGGCGAATATTCCTTCTGTTGCGTGCCTTTAGAACATGACTTAAATCAGCCTTTAGGCTCGATAGTCAGGCTCACACCTGTTGGTGTCGTCAATGTGGCAACCGGCGCTTGTGTGCAGAGGTGTAAAGAGTACCTGAAAACCATACTTGAGTAAAAGTACAGATACCTTACTGTAAAAATTACTCCATTACAAGTTACAAGTCACCAATTCTAATAAGACTTTTTATTTTAAAAGAACCTAAGTATTTTACTCATAGTGAATGTAGGCTCAAAAAACACCAAGAAAGGTTTTATTTCCTAATAGACATTAAATTTAACACCTCAATGTTTCAAAATGGCAGAATAAAACAGATTAAAAAAATAGAACAAAAAGTCTCAGTCAAACTCAAATGTTCTAAAAAGGGACAATTTAAAAAAAAAGTAGAAAAACGTAATAAAAAAAAATCAGAGCTGACTTTCGTGTGACTCACCTCTCAGTCTCAGAGGGGGGCAATATTTTTATTTTGAGTAGTTTTTCAATTAATTAGGATGTTTTCTCTGTATTAAAATTAAACAAAGAGGATCAGTGTTATTTTTCAACTTAGTAAACTACATATAAATTCAATGAAAAATACATCACAAAATCACAGCTAAATGCACCTGATGCAAAATGTATAATTTCAGTGATACATTTTTTTTACGTTGCCCAAAAAAATTAAGCTAAAACATAGTCATGTCGCAGTGGTTTTTGTCATATCAGTAACTGTATTAACTTTTAGTAACATTGTGCTTACAATACCATTGTAAAGTCAGCCATAATTTGACTAAATTCACATTGAATTAGCATTAAATAGATTCTTACCTCAGTGTGTTTTCTCAAATTTGATAATTCATTCTTAAAAGCACTAATTTTCGTGGTTCGTGGCAAAAAATAGACACTGCATCCTGTAAGAGTCATCTGTATATCGGCAAATAAAAACTTTTCTTTCAGATAAGGCCATGGATGGTCATCAGTGCTGGCAGTGCTTGATGTGCCGGCTTCGGCTTCATCACTGGCTGGAGCCATTTCGCTTATTAAACACCTGATATTAGGCAAGCTGCTAATTCATGTTCACGGGATTTAGCTCATAATCAGCATACAGTACCTTCAGCACCCTGCAGATGGCAATATCGCCTCGTCCGCCCAACAAATTAGCCGTGGTAAATAAAGATGCTGACTTGTCACAATGTAACGAGTAACGGTAAGTGTCAGTTTAAATGTAGTGGAGTAAAGAGTACATATCTTCAATCAAAAATGTAGTCAAGTAGAGAGTAAAAGTTGCTTATATTTTTAATATTCAGTACAAGTACTAACTAGCTAAAAATACTAAAATAACGAAGTCCATTTACTTAAGTACTTTATACCACTACTTGTGTGTGGTTTGATACAGGAGTGCAATACCTAGTTCAACCACTGGCTGTCAAACATGCAGTATGCTCCTTTAAATTACATAAAAATGAAAAGCAGTCTCTTACTTAATTTAAAAGCTATTTAAATATTTACTTTGCAACTAATTACACCCAACACTGTCAGTGCCATCCTTGAGATGACTTTTGGCTTTTTTTGTTTTAGGTGATTTTCATTTATTTGTTGATTTATTTGAATGAAAAATGGAGTTGATGACTAAAGTCTTGATCCATGCAGTTGAACTAATCTCTACATCAAAAACAAGTCCTCATTGTCCCTGTAGCAGAGCATGTTTCAAAACCTAGACAGGATGTGGTTGACCTAAATGAAGCTTGTCACAGAAAAAAAAAGAGAGAGAGAGAGAGCAACATTGACACTTTCATTGTTAGTGCAGTATAAGAGTGGCACATTCATGTTCACATCCATATCCAAAGCACTACGGATGCACAATCAAGAGTTCAGTGTACATTCTAACCTTCAGATAATCTGATTGAACGCAGTCATTTACCTTTAAATATATCCAGTATAATCCTGTGCTTTTCTTGTTCAGATAATAGCTTTATTAATATGACTGTGCAAATGTACAAGAGTCTGACCCACTCTTGCTGTTATATATTTTTTTAAATATATTGCTTTGTCACAAAACTTTAGCGTGAACTTCAGCAGTGTGACTTCCTGTCTTGATGTCAGATGCACATTTCAGTCATTAGTTGTTTTTGCTCTAGTTTTCACTTTTACAGTCACAGTTCTGTTAGTTACAGTACTGTTGTTTTTGAAAGTTCCTTTAATTTAAGCTAGTTCTGTCAAAATGTTAATAGTGATTAATCGCATCCGAAATTAAAGTTTATATTTACATTATATATATATACGATAAAAATGCTGACAAAAAGTCATGAAAGCAAATGTTTTCAGGCTACTTTAATATTAATCAGTTGATTGAGTTTGTTTTAGTTAAACAATGTTTATCTTGCAGTTTGACTGATGTAAGTTGAGATGACTATAAAAGTTACTTTAATTTAACTAAACATTTAGGGAATAAGATATTTTGTTTTACAGAGTATGTATATATTAGGGGTGTAACGGTTTACAAAAATCACAGTTCGATACGATACAGTGGTGTCCCGGTTCGGTATTTTTGCAATACAGCAAAAGAAAAAAAAAAAAAGCCTGAGAATTTCTCTCATTTTCATTTTTTTAATGTTTTAAAACTAACATCATAAAAGTATGATCCGATTTTTTAGAGCTATACTCCCAGGGTTTCTGCTTAGCAGCAAATAAAACAAATCCTTCATTATACTCAAAACCAATAAGCTTATTATAAAACAACAAATATAATATTGTAGTAGTTAAACAAATACAAAGAAAAGAATAATTTAGTTTTTATAAGGAACTCAGTTTAAATCTATTTTTAAGTATTTTTTTATTTTCAGAAAGATGAGCGTCCACCTTTCCTTCAGACAGCACAGATCTGCTTGATTTGACTGTCACCTGCCATTTCAGAGGATCTGAAAGCAGGAATTATCTGACTCAAATGGGCTCGAAGAGGCACGATTTCCAGAAGATTATCATTCGTTTGCGGGAGACTCCTGAAACTTCCAGGAGACTTGAGTCTAAGACTGATGTCTAAGATTGCATAAACATTTTATATTTATATTAACATTTTATATATATATATATATACATATACTAAATATATATATATATATACTAAATATATATATATATATATATATATATATATATATATATATATATATATATATATATACACACACATATATACTAAATATATATATATATATAAAAACTCCACCGTGTGCGATTCAGAAAGCATAATATTGTAAACGCGCGACCATGTAGAGACAGAAATCACATGTTGTTGTGTAAATAAGATACTACATACGGCTATTTAGCTTGTTTAATAAAATAAGTTGTGATCTGAATTTTAATACCATTAACTTGACTTCAAGGGGGGCGGCGCACCCCCTAATATAATGGTAGGGGAAACACTGATAATTATATACAGTTGAAGTCAGAATTATTAGCCCCCCTCCCCCGTAAAAATAATAATTCAAAGGGGTACTAATATAATTCTGACTTCAACTGTGTGTGTGTGTGTGTGTGTGTGTGTGTGTGTGTGTGTGTGTGTGTGTGTGTGTGTGTGTGTGTGTGTGTGTGTGTGTGTGTGTGTGTGTGTGTGTGTGAGGTATAAACATTACACAATGTCTATAAATGAATAATCAGTGCTACTTAAAGCACAATCAATAAACATTTTGGCAAAATGTGTACGGTATTGCATGCTTAATATCGTTGTATGTTGCATAAGCATGTACATATTTAATAATACTGCACAAAACTCAACTAGTTTTCATTAGATTGTTAAATCAGTGGTATACTAAATATGGTATAAATACAGACCCTTGTTTTAAAGACCTGTCATTTTCTTCTGTTTCAGATGGGGATATTCCAGTCCGGCACTCGGAAACCAAGCGTTACAGTGAGATATTACGCGATTTTGATGCTTTGGATCTGTCCCTAAAATGCTCGTACGTAAACCTTCTTACTCTCAAATTTCAGTCTTAAAGGGACAGTTCACCCACAAATGAAACATTTCTCACTATCTATTCATGTTCAGTTGGATTCAACTAATGAATTCTTCTGTTGAACACAAAACCAGATATCATGAAGAATGTTGTAAAAACTCAGTCATTGACCTCCATCCTAGGAACCAAAAATACTTTGGAAGTCAGTGGCTGTTTTATTTCCAATGTTCTTTAATATATCTTTCTTTATGTTCAGCAGAAGAAAGAAACTCAGGTTTGCAACAAGTAATCACCTTAGAATTATAAGGTTCTATCTGACATTTTTGTCAAAATTGAGTTATTGACATTCTTATTAAATGACAACTTATTTACATTATGTGATGTTTTTGTATAAGTCGTTTACGTTTTAAGACTTTTTATTTAAAACAACAAAATGGTTTATCTACAAAGTTGAACTCTAGCTTAGCTCTATGCGGTTCTTTCTGTGAGCCAATCAGCATTTTAAATACACACACGAGGACCAATTAGGATCAGCTTTCTTTGCCATTTCACCAACCTCCTCCATTGACAGCGGGACAGACCAGAAAGAGATGTGTGTAAATGTAATGATTTAGAAGCATTTTTAGACAATGAGATGAAATGTTACGTTTTACATTGTTGAAAAAGAAACGAATATTTAAAAAAAGTTTTATTTTAAATGTGAAATATTTTTATCTGTTGATATATGGTAGGTGAAACATTTTTCAGGGTTTATTAATCTCATTTGCTGATTTTCTGTTTTCTTTTAAAGTCTTTAAATTTGATATTAAGCCTTGAAGGGCAAATACTTTAATTTAATTAATGGGGCATATAATTCAATCAATGTAATTCAATAATTCATATAAAGCATAAAGTGTTGTGAATATTAACATATTATTAGATAAATTAACATCTACACTGCACAAAATATTTAGCACAGCCTTGTATGTGTAATTAAAACAAGAAAAAAAATTAATCCTGAAACATAAAATAAATGTTATAGAAAGCAAAAATTTTACTTTCTCAAGCATCAACATATTGCTACAGCACCAAATTATATATTTTTTGGTTGTATTTCTTGAAAAGTAATGCTTCAATGATTGATCTGCCAGATAGAACCTTATAATTCCAAGCGGAAAATGACTTTACAGATTTAGAAGGTTCTATCTGCATTTACCATGTTTTTTTTTGTACTCCAATTTACAAATGTAAGAGAACTTTGATCATTTACATTTAGAGTGTATTTAGGGTCTCTGTCATGTTAATGTATGAAAGAAAACTGTTACACACATATTGTTTGCTATATGGAATGCAAAACTTCTCAAAATCATTCAGAACTCAGATAGAACCTTATAATTCCAATTCTATTTCTAAGTTCTACTGTCCAGCAAACTAATAAGTGAACAATAACAATGAAATGTGGTCAAACATTATTGTTATATCCAAACACACTTTATTTGGTGATGCCATAAGTCTCTAAAACCTGATATATATATATATATATATATATATATGTATTGTACTGTACTGTACTGTACTATACTATATACTATACTATACTGTACTGTACTATACTATACTATACTAATAATACTAGCATTAAACAACTCGTCATGAATAAACTGACTACAACTGCAACAGAGCCAAAGTTCCACCAAAGCCCTCTGGTTGTTACATTTTAATCGTTTAATTCTCATATGTAAAGATATTTGTGTGTTGCTGTACATCCCTGTGTGTGTATTAAGCAATGTGTATGCATGTGTTGGACAAGTTAAAAGAACTTAAGTTAAAAAAAAATTAAATAAAAAATAAATACAGGGTGTATGATAGACCCCATAGAGTGACAGTTGATATTTATATGATATTTTTAAGCTTGTTGAGTTAAATAACATGTTTTCAGATTTTAATCTCATGTCTTGACCATATCAGTTTGCACCAAATTAAGTATTTCGGCTTAATTTAGACCTAAAAAAATGGTTCTTTTCCTCAAATGGGACCTTCAGGTTACCATGTTTATTGTACTACTATATGTAAAAGTCTGATGTATCAAATGTGATACTTCAATTTAGTTCTATAAAGGTTCTAAAGGCTTAATATTGTTTTAAGTAAGTTCCAAACGGGGTATTCATTGTGTTCATACAGTTGAAATCAAAAGTATTAAACCTTTGATTTTAATTTATTTTTTTATTTTTAAATATTTCTCAAATGATGTTTGACAGAGCAAGGAAATCTTCACAGTATGTTTGATAAAACTTGTTAATTTCAGCTAGAATAAAAGCAATTTTTAATTTTTTTAAAAACCTTTTTAAGGTCAATATTATTAGCCCCTTTAAGCTGTTTTATTTTTTCAATAGTCTACAGAACAAACCCATCATTATACAATAACTTGCCTGATTACCCTAACCTGCCTAGTTAACCTAATAAACCTAGTTAAGCCTTTAATGTCACTTTAAGCTTTATAGAAGTGTCTTGAAAAACATCAAGTAAAATATTATTTACTGTCATCATGGCAAAGATAAAATTAATCTTTTATTAGAAATGAGTTATTAAAACTATTATGTTTAGAAATGTGTTGAAAAAAAGCTCTCTGTTAAACAGAAATTGAGGAAAAAAATAAAAAGGGGGGGCTAATAATTTTGACTTCAACTGTATATATCTATCTATAGTCTTGGTTCAAAAGAAATATATATATAACATTACCTGATATTGTAATAACAGAAATAATTGCAAATTTAAAAAAAATTATGATGGAAACCTGTAGCCACTGACGTCCATAATATTTGTTTTTCTTACTATAAATAGCAATAACCACCAGTTTCAGTTCTAATTTCCAGCAAACTAATAAATTAACAAAAATAACGAAGTGTGGTCAAACAACTAAGTTATATCCAAACACGTGTCTATTCTCATGCCCCATATGGGGATGCAGACGTCTCCAAAACCCGACAGATGGACAAAGCTAAACTTGTTTTATAAAAGAAAATATATAAATATGCATTAATGAATAATACTGCTAATAATAATAACATTATACAAATGCAAATTGTCATGAATAAACTAAAAGAAAACCCCATTGTGAAGAGGGCATAAAGGTAAGGGTTTTTATTTTATTTTTTTGTAACATTTTAATTTTTAATTTTTTCACATGTAAAGATGCTTGTGTATTGTTGTACATCCTGTGTGAATTAAGCAGTGTTGCATTTTGTACCTGCATAGATGCATAACTAATGCACTCTGCGGCGGACTTTAGACCTGTTGGTCAATGGCACGGTCTATTTCAGTTTAAAAAATTATCCTCGTGCCAACAATGCACCTTAACACACCTCCTTTTTAGACCTGCACACATGTGAGGCACAAATGGATTTTCTATTTAAACAACATGACGCAAAACGTTAAAAAAAATAAGGGTTGCGCCGGTCTGAAAATAGCAACAAATCGCGCCAAACATATCCTTATTGCTTATAGGGACCCATGATGCTATAAGATTTCTGTTACTATTATTACCTAGTAAGCCCACTATTATTATTACCTAGCAAGCCTAGCCCACTGATGGCTCTAATACTACTACATCATGAGTTGCATGGGACAATAACGGGTTTCAAGGTTTAGCTTGGCTTGGAAAAGTCAAGGTTTTAAAACTGCTCATTTTCCATTATATTGTTCCTAAGGTATATGGTTTATCTTGTAAGGTTTTTTTTATGTGTGTGTTTTAGACACACAATCTGTGTTTTTGAAACTAAGGAAGATAGCAGAAGTCAATGATTTATTTTAATTATTTAACCTGACTTGTTTACTGTTAGAAAATGTTTTTAAAAATAAAATATATTGTCTTCAATGGGGAAGAAGTTGTTGTTTTTTAACCAGACATTTAAAAAGAACTTATTTTAGAGCAGTGATCATATACTGTGATACCATGAAATCATGATATTTTTATCCAAGGTTATCATACCGTCAGAAAATTATACCCACCCATGCCTAAACATGAGTTGCATGGGGCCATTCTGTGTCACATTTGCATCTTTTTATTTTAAGGTTTAAAGCTGGTCACTATTCACCACCCTTATATACTTAAGCATGACCTCCATATTTTCTCCTTTTTTTGAACAACACCAGAGTGATTTAGCGATGACAGCATTTCCCTTTTGGGTGAACTGCCTCTTTAAGGATATAAAAAAATCTACAGGCATCTTTATTTTGTCTCTGTGTGAACTAGCACGATTCTTTTTTTTTATATCTTTGTGTCTGTTATTAAATTCCTCAGGACTGTGGATGAGCTCCTGCAAGAAGCAGATTCACTGTCTTTACCAGACACTTCAGCAGACACCACGCTGAACGCTGATCTGGACGATATTACAGTGAGACATGATTGATGAATTACTTCTCTTATTCACCCATTTCTTAGTAGCTTTGTGTGTCTCAAGAAAGAAAACTCTGTGTGCCACTGGGAATATTAAAAGCTGCTTGTTTTCCAGGGTGAAGATGTGGAAGATGAAGTGAAGATCTGCCGTGAAGAGGAGGAAAAAGACGAAGGCACTCTTTCGATCGGTAATTCTTCTTAGGATCATTGTTTATTACTCGATGTGTGTGAGTAAACATACAATCAATTTGGAAGTCATAATGAGATTTGGGATGAGAACTCGTATATTAAAGTGAAATATCAAGTATTAGAATTGATATCATTAGGGCTGGGCGATTTGAACAACTCGATTACGATTTATTATTACGATTAATGAAATTATTGTCAATGTTTTTCTCATTAAAAGTATAAAAAATAAATAAAATAACTCTCTTATATCCCATAAACAATTATTTTTAATGTAAATAATTGAAAATATGCCATCTCAAGGCATCTGGTGCAGCTACCAATTATCGACAATGTAGTGAATGTAAGGGTCAAGAATTGGTCCATCATCTTGCTTGACCAAGGCAAGGCAGGTTTATTTATATAGCACAGGGGTGTCCAAACTCGGTCCTGGAGGGCCGGTGTCCTGCATAGTTTAGCTCCAACTTCCTTCAACACACCTGCATGGAGCTTTCTAGTATATTTAGAAAGAACTTGATTAGCTGGTTCAGGTGTGTTTAATTGGTGTTGGAACTAAAATACGCCGGACACCGGTCCTCGAGGACCGAGTTTGGACACCCTTGATATAACACATTTCATAGTGGCAACTCAAAGTGCTTTACATCAACAAGAACAAAAAGGCAAGTATAAGAAAAATAAACAAATAATAAAAGTGATTAAAACAGATAAAAACTGATTAAAATGTGTTCAAATAGGTTATAAAAGAATGAAAAAGAAAAGACGTAGTCGGACGTAGCAAAGTGCTCATTCAGCAAAGGCACAAGCTAAACAGTCTTGATTTGAACGTGCCTAATGGACCAGAGACAGATGTGGCTGCAAAGTGGCTGCATAAGTATTAGGGATGTCCTGATACAACATTTTACTTCCGATACAATACCGATATTGCAGCCTTCAGTTCAAACCGATACCGATATAAATCCGATTTCAGCACAAATCTTGAATACTTTACTTTTGCCTATTTCGTTGAGTGGAATGTAAGAAATGCTAGATCAAATTGAGAACAAAAGTCAGCAACATTAAGTATGGAAAAAAACAACCAGTTTATTAAATATTGGTTGCATAAATGTGAACTATTTACATAAGAATATATAAAAGAATTAAAGAATAAATATTAAGACCCTGAAAAATACCTTAATAGAATAAACAAAAATATGTTTTTTAAAGAATCTCTCTCTAGTCTTTGTGCTGCTGAGAGATTGAGATGCACCGGCCAAAGTTTGCGTATAAAGTAATGCATAAACTCTGCTAAAGAAATGAAAGCAGAATCCGGGACATGTTAGGTGATTTTAGAAATCCTGGCTGAATGCCTTCGAACCGTGTCATAGCTAATAAAGACGCGCCTCTGTTTCTCGCCGCCAGTTTTCCTTAAAAAATGAATGACTTCTGGCTACTTTGACGCTCTCGCCGCTTTCCGTTTGTGATCGCTCATCAGTTTGTGAAGGATTCCCCGCGTTGTCGCTCCACCCCGAAACTTATATTATTGTCGGCTAGTGAACGAGTCGTTCATAACGGAGATTCATTCACAAACGAATCGCTCCCTCTGTCAGTATGAGAAGTGAAAGCAGGAGAGGAGGTGTATTTCAGGACACGGATTAGATTAAATTTAACAGGGAGGGTGAATAGTACATTTCTGTACACACAAACACATGCTTTTTGTCAGGAATGCTCGTGCGATCAGTGATCCATCAATGTAGAAAAGTAATGTAAAATTATAATTTTCATAATTAAAAAAAAATTGCATACTAACATCTAGGAAAACTCCCGATCATAGATATATGTGTATATGTGTATATCTCTGGCTCTCTACCCCCCCCCCCCCCCCCCAACCAAGTTCTGCAACTTATGCATCTATATATAACTGTCATATGAAAAGGAAATGCCAAATACATGTTTTAAGTAAATTTAATTAACCTACTTGATTTTTATATATCCTACATATATCTATATAAAGAAAAATGTAGGAAGAAAAACTCAGTCATGAAGAAATTCTCATTTTAATTACAGTTAACATAAAACACTCATTGATGGAAAATGAAACTCTTTTAACAAACCGAAACAAATGCGAGAGTAGGGAGGAAAATAAGGCTGTGAGTAGAGGAAGATGATTCCTCAATATGATCACAAGCTCCTCAATGTATACTAATCTCGTGGACATCTCTTTACTACTGGTATACTTGGGGGATGCTGCAGTATATATTTAGGTGGAACGTAGCGTTACGTTTAAACTAAGTTCTGAGTCTAAGTCTGAACCAGGGCAAACACGGTGATGTTGTCATCGCATGATGTTGTGAACGTTTATAATATTTTTGCGGCAGATAGACGCCAGTCTCTTTCTGTATGTTCAACAGCAAAAGATTCAGTAAAAGCAGAACGACCGGGATGTACGAACGTCTTTCCATTTTGGTGCTTTACTTTCGTGTCCGTCACCTAGCAACAGCCGTACACAATACATCAAATCGATGATGCAAGCAAATCGGGGTTCAGAAGGAAAAAAGACAGTGTGAACACAGACACAAATCTCAGATCACTTCATCCTGACATTTTAATCTGATTCGTGAACTTGTTTGAAGAACCAAATTAGCCTAAGATTCTCCCCTGGAAAATCGTCAATTTATAGCAATTGTCGATGATTGGATCCTGTACTAGTAGGCAGGGCTTCACTCAACATATTGACCGTTACAGATTTCCCTATTCAAAACTACAAGAGTGACACATTTTGTGTATTCTATAGTGTTTGATAGTCAACTTGGTACTATGTTTGAATTTGAATTTATTTCATAAAATGTACCTTCTTAATAGTATGAATGTGAGGAGCTTGAATGAAATTCGGACATGTTACATACGCAATTTTGTCAATATCACATGACCATCCCACATTCGTTATCTGGCATTACTCCCATTCATAAACTCTCTCCTGTGGCTTCAGGATAATAAGTGTCCATTTAATGTTCCTTTTCAGAATCTCACCAGCAGTTGTAGGCCATCCAAGTACTACTGTCTTTTGAATACTATGAATTCGGGCATACTACTATATAGGAATAGTGCAATTTTTGGATGCACTGGCTGTGTTTCACATATTATATTTCAGGAAATATGCAATTTCTAATGCACCAATAGGCTTATGTCCTCAATCTAACGACAAAGCATGACATAAACAGCAGTGACTGATATCTGAAAAGAGCAGAGCAAAGCAAAGCAAGAGTGACTGATCAGACCCGGAGGCATCATGTCAAGCCACTAAATCTCTTTTCTTCAACCAGCGCTGTTTACGTGTAATTAGCCACATGGACTAATTGCCCCTCGCTAACAAGATTAGCACCGGACGGGAGTTAGAGAGCAGATTAAACCAGCAGACAGCTGCTCTCTTGTTTTTTTCCGCTGATCCATCTCTACGAGAACTATAGAGACAGGAAGAGCAGCGAATGTTTAAGAATGTTGGCATCTGAACTGTAATCGTAAATGAAATTCATGTAGAAAGAAAGATGTTTTTAATAGAGACAAGTCATTAAAAATGAATTCAGATTTATTTTGATTTAGCATTAGCTATGCTTTTTTGAATATATATCGATGTAATCTTTCTCAGGGTGGTACTTTAATTACAACAGCCACTCTTCCTGTGAGCTACAGTATCTAGCTGTTTGCTAGCTGAGATTAGGGATTACGCTAACACTTAAAGTTTAAATAAAACATCCGCATGCTGACCTCAGAGGTGATCCCTTAGCTTGTACTTACCTTCATTGCCCACAACTGAGACCAGTGCTAAGCGCTGACATTATTAACCAGATATGCTGTCTCATTTTTTAGAGACTGAAAGAAACACGATGGCAGGTGTTGATTGACTGTGTTACCAGAAATAGTCCATAGGTGGCAGTGCTTTTTCCTTTATGCTTACATGTGCAGTTGAGGACCATTATTAGCCCTCCTGTAAAATTTAACTTCTTAGTCTAATATCTCTCAAGTGCTCTTTAACACAGTTTTAAATGTAATAGTTTTAATGAGTAATTTCTGATAACTCATCTTCTTTGCCATGATGATAGCACATAATATTGTAATATTTGTTGTACGTGGAGCTTATATAACCTAGCTAAACTGTTTAATTATTCAAATTAATCTAGCTTTAATGGCACATAACTTTGTTTTCTAGTGTGTTAGCAAGAAGAACAGTCTTATACACTGCACAACCCAGAGTGTTAGCAGCAATCTGGCAGAATAGGCAGGTAGAATGCAGCACTGCCGGTTCATCTTTTTATTCTGAGCTCTAAACACGAACAGCTCTAAACAGGACCATACCACTGGGGTGCTTTCTTTACACACCACCCTTGTTGATGGTAATGACCAATGTTTTATAAACCAAAGAAAAACTTGGCTTAAAAACAGAAGCTGCATCCCAAATGGCACACTATACACTATGCACTCATGCACTATGTACTTATGCACTTACACACTCAACAGCATAGTATATGTATGTAGTGTCGTCCCAAATGGCACACTAATGTTTTTTTTACTAAATGGAAATTCAAACCGATTCCCTGATGACGTTTGACGGTCGCGAAATCAGTGAAATAAACGACCGAATTATCAAATAATACCTGCCGTGAGTATTGCCGCATTCACCATCGGGAGGCGCTATAATCACTCTCGCATAGATGTATATCTATGTCACTCTCGTAGGAGAATTTTGCTTTCACCATCCAAAATAAATAAAGTTATTCAACATGTGCGTCCGATATCTCCGCCCCTTTCGCTACGTAAGCAAACCTGCGGTCGTTGAGTGCGTGAAGTGTCCATCACAAGTGTGCCGCAAGCCTGCGTTTGAGTGAAGGTCTCGGCCGTTAGATCGCCCCCTGGGGGCTGGCTGTAGTACAAGTCATAAAGCCCGCCTCCTCCGTGTTAATGAAGGAGACTTGAGCCCAAATAAAAAAAATTATAACACTTGCAATAAAATTTCCCGAAAGATGGTTCA